CCCCCAATTCTCTGCATTGAGTGCACTTTCTAAAGCGACGAGTCGGAGGTCCTCGAATCCGATGCGTCTTGAAGCTTGACACAATATTTTAATGGGACGGGAACGCAGGTACGCTTTAGCGTGTAGACGTCCCCGTCCCACCTAAAAATTTACCTGATAAGATAACAGCCCCGCGATCATCAAAGTTTCTCTGCCCGCGTCTGCAAGGGCGCGGTGAGTCTTTGCACTTTGCTGGTATTCAAACATCGCCTTGCGTCACTTCGCTACTCGCACGACGCTTCGCACCATACCACCTAGTTGAAACACATCCTTGCCGGACTCGCCAACATGAAGTACCTCCTTGTCAGTGGTGGTGTCATTTCGGGCGTTGGCAAGGGCATAATCGGTACCGAGCCCAGCTTTGTGAAGCAGTCCTCCTTGCGCCCAGGTCTGCTAACAAACTCCGTCTAGCCTCTTCGTCGGGCCTTCTGCTCAAGTCCAGCGGCTACAGAGGTAAGTTAACGTCTACCTAATCATTGATTTGTACGACTTTGTGATTGACTAGCTTCTAGTGACCTCAATCAAGATTGGTACGCCAAAACCCGAAACTCCATTCTCAGATACGCAGAATAACACGGGAACCCTCCAGACCCTTACCTCGGTGTTGACGCTGGGTTGATGAGCCCCCTGGAACACGGCGAATGCTTCGTTTTGTAAGTTGCACGCCATCCCGCAAGGCTGCTCTCTAAACCCTGACTGTTTATATCAAGGGACGACGGTGGCGAGACCGATCTTGGTGAGTGTGACTCGTCGCAGCCTCGAGAACCAGTCTTATAAGCTATAGACCTCGGAAACTACGAGCGCTACCTGTCGATCAAGCTCACAAAGGCTCACAACATCACTACGGGAAAGGTTCGCTTCGCACAAGTGTTTGGCTAGGCACAAGACAGCGCTGATACCGTATTTTGCTATAGATCTACAAGCATGTCATCGAGAAGGAGCGCAGAGGCGATTACCTCGGCAAGACCGTGCAGGTTGTTCCCCACATCACCGACGGAATACAGAAGTGGATTGAGGACGTGGCCAAGATCCCTGTGGACGAGTCCGGACTGGAGCCCGATGTTTGCATTATTGAGCTCGGTGGCACCGTGGGTGATATCGAGTCTATGCCTTTTGTCGAGGCGCTGGTTCAGCTTCGCCATCGCGCAGGCCGCGGCAACTTTGTCAACATTCACGTCAGCTACGTGCCAGTCATTGGCCAGGAACAGAAGACCAAGCCAACCCAGCACGCCGTGAAAAGCGTCCGTAGCGCTGGTCTCATCCCTGACCTGGTGAGAAGCATGCTGCTGACTTACTTGAGGCGCATCGAGCTGACGTTTATAAAACAGGTTGCTTGCCGTTGCGAGCTTCCGCTGGACGACGCCACGGTTGCCAAGATTGCCCACCATTGCCAGGTTGACCTGGAACAAGTGGTGAGTCAAGGGCTTTCGCTGGTGCAACCGGTTCATGACATTGACTTGTTCGGCGCAGGTTGCGGTCAGGGATATGGAGACGATCTACCAAGTCCCGATGCTTCTCCATGAGCAGGGTCTTACCACCAGCCTTCGCTCCTTCCTTCGACTGGATCAGCTGCCCCTGAGTGAGGACAGGGTAACGCAGGGTAAGAACTTGTGGAAGACCTGGAACGACACCGTGATGCCGCAAAGGCATCTTGAGACCGTCACCGTTGCTCTCGTTGGCAAGTACATTGAGCTTCACGATGCCTATCTTAGCGTCGTTAAGGCTCTCGAGCACAGTGCTATGCACTGCAAGAGGAAGCTTAACCTTGTCTGGGTCGACTCGGAGCACTTGGAAGAGAGTGCGCGGCAGACGGATCCAGCCAAGTTCCACAAGGCCTGGCATGAGGTTCGTCCAGCCCTTCCCATGAATCTCTCGCTCACGGTAGCTAATCATTGTGACAGGTCTGCACCGCCTCGGGCATCGTACGTCACACCGTGCAATTTTTGATTGATGCGTTTTGAACACAGCATTGACTTTGTTCCTAGCTTTGTCCGGGTGGATTCGGCACAAGAGGTATCGAGGGCAAGATCCTTGCTGCCAAGTGGGCGCGCGAGCAGAAGACTCCTTACCTTGGTGTCTGCCTTGGTATGCAAGTTGCAGTGATTGAGGTTCGTCAGACATGATATTGATCGCTGTCTTCCTGCTAATGACCTTTTAGTATGCTCGCCACATTGCCGGCATCACCAAGGCTACGTCGGAGGAGTTCGACGCACAGGCCGAAGAAAAAGCCATCATTTTCATGCCCGAGATTGACAAGACGACCATGGGCGGAAACATGCGTCTTGGAAGCCGACCTACCTTTTTCCAAGATGGTTCTGAGTGGAGCAAGCTGCGCGCGCTCTACGGGGGAGCCTCATCGGTCGACGAGCGCCACCGACACCGTTATGAAGTCAACCCGGAATACATCGAGCGTCTTGAGGCAGCGGGCCTTGACTTTATCGGCCGGGACGACAAGGGCGAGCGAATGGAGATCATCGAGCTCAAGGACCACCCCTTCTTTGTCGGAATCCAATACCATCCCGAATACCTGAGCCGCGTCCTCAAGCCTAGCCCCTGCTTCCTCGGCTTTGTCGCGGCCAGTGCTGGCTGTCTGGACGAGGTCCTGAAGGAGGTCAAGAACCCTAGTACGCAGAGCAGTGGCGAGGGCATCAACGGAACGAACCAGGCTTCTTTCTGAAGCAGCGCGTATCAACAGGCGTTTTAGAGTTTGGAACATTATTATATAGGCATAGGCTGTACCGGCGGCATTTGATGATCATTTCTAACCCCCTCCTCTTCTGGAATGTCTATACGTACTATCGTGAGTATTGCGCAGCGCTGACAGCCACAATCCATGCGAGCGGGCTGCAATCCACAGCGGAAAGGTACGGCCTGCACCTCGTGTTCTTGCGAATTGCAGACCATCCTCCTCTACAAGTTTTTGTGGGTATCATGGGATGCTTCAGTCCACAGGAAATGCATCTACCTAGGGTGACGACGTTCGAAACGATTGAGGTGGTCTGGGTTTGTTTGTGCATGTCCCTGCATGAAATTCAGTGCGTGACACAGGACAGGTCGAATGCTATACCTAAGGTAGGTAGGTACCTACGGAGGTAGCTAGCTAAGGTTCCCTGGGAACCTACCTTGCGTACCTTATTCACCGAGGGGGGGGGGGGGCAGCCTGGGTGGCTTGTTCGGTGGTACTGGGCGTCCTTGTCCACGTAAAAAGTGAAATGGATGCAGGCACTTTCGACAAATCACCCTGGAAACATTAAACCCAGGATCCCAACCTGGGGCGTCAGTCAGGCACACTTGGGACCCGGTCTGACAGCGGATAGGGAGAGAGAGAGAGATAGAGAGAGAGAGAGCAAAGAAAGATGCACACATGCGACCCTCCTCCCCACTCTTCTGCTCTTACGTCGTTCGGTGCCCCATCCTGCATACGTCCGCCTGTCCTCCCGCTGCCTGCCCAAGCTCAGGCCCCTCCTGTCCTTCTCCTTCCTCCCCAGTCCCCTCCCCCCATTGCCCCCCCAAAACCCAACCCAACCGGCGTCAAGCACAGCCAAGATCGAACAGCAGCAAGCAGCAGCTGCTGCATTGCGTGGTCTCAGCCCAAACCGGTGCGCTCGCCCGCTCCAACGCGTCCTGTCTGCTCCATATTCTTACTTCCTCCCTCACGCACGTCTTTCTTGTCGAGCAACTACAAAGGCAAAACGACGACATCCTGCTCCAGCGCCCTGACGAAGCGTTCCCCCTTGGGCACGACGATTGCCGAACCTGAACCTGAACCTGCTTCTGCTTCTGATCTGTGCCTCTTCTCGTTTCTCTTGCGATCCCCGCCCCCATCCTTTCCTTCTCTCATCCACCCACCTCTTTTTTCCACACCATTCGTCTACACACTGCCAATTCGCCCCGTCGTAAATCCCGCCTTGGGCATCTCGTCCGCCCACCCGCCCCCCTCCTCCTCCGCCCCCAACCTCCCTGCCTTTTGCCATGGATTCCCAATGGCAGCAGAGCTACGCTGACTCAGGCGCCTCCTCGCGACGATACAACAACGGCGCTGCTCAAATCCCTCGCGATTACGCTGGTCAAGTCCCCCCCCAAGGTCATAGTCACACCCACAGCCAGGGCCATATCCAGGGCCAGAACCAACCCCCAGCCGGCTTCAAGTACGAGCAGTATCAGCAAAGCCCCGGCGCCGCCCCCTCTGCTGCTTCGCCCATGGCCTCGCCTCAGGTGCGCGACGGCAACGGCGACGTTGCCATGCAGGACGCCCAGGACCCCTACGCCAGCATGAAATATCCCATGAGGCCGCACCACCAGTCTCACCTATCCGGCAGCCGTCCTGCCAACCTACACTCGCCCCAGGAACCTTCGGCCGCCGCGCAGCGGTACTCCCCCATGGAGGCCTTATCGCCCACGTCTCCCTACGCGCCCAAGTCCGCCGTCCAAGGTCAATTCGTCAGCCCCCCCGACCAGAGGCAATCGCCCACGAGACAGCAATCCGACTACAACCCTCAGAGTCCCTACTACGCCGGGCGCCAGCAGGCTCCTCAGCTGCCCCCCATCACGCCCTATACCTCGACCCACGATGGATACCCATCCTCGGCTGTCGCCAACCTCGATGGAGCTTTCGCCGCTGCTGATCCCAAGTCACCCCGTCGTCCCGTCGCTGCGCTCAACAAGAGTGTCGTTCCCGAGTTCAAGCCGGTTCGTGCTCTGACCGACCTTCGACCAAAAGTCAGCGCTCAGCCGCCGTTTCGCCGAGCGAACCCCGAAGGGGGCTTCATCAGTGTAAGAATCAATCTGTCACAGAAAGCATTTGCGGTATTACAGCATCCACGGCTAACGCTCGACCATGCAGCCTCTGCAAGCTCTTACAGTCCACCTCCCGGCCACCTACCGCATCTGCAACCCCAACTTCAAATACGAGTCGTCGCGCAACCCCCGGCGTGTTCTGACCAAACCGAGCAAGGGTGTCAAAAATGACGGTTTCGACAACGAAGACAGCGATTACATCCTTTATGTGAATGATATCCTCGGCTCAGAGGAGGCTGGTCACAAGTATGTCACCACTCGCAGTGCCCAGGGGGTGCTGTGTCGATTGCCTCCATGCGCCGCTTACTGATACGTCTTTGATTAGGAACCGATATCTCATCCTCGACGTGTTGGGCCAGGGGACATTTGGTCAGGTTGTCAAGTGCCAGAACTTGAAGACTCAGGAGGTTGTTGCCGTGAAGGTTATCAAGAACCGCACAGCTTATTTCAACCAGAGCATGATGGAGGTGTCTGTCCTTGATTTGGTACGACAACTACCCTTGCGCCCGAAGGGCATTCGTTTGCTAATTCAGTCTTCAACAGCTCAACACCAAACTGGATAAGAATGATGATCACCACCTCCTGCGACTCAAAGACACATTCATCCACCGCCAGCATCTCTGCCTCGTGTTCGAGTTATTGAGCGTCAACCTCTACGAACTCATCAAGCAGAACCAGTTCAGGGGACTCAGCACGACCCTCGTTCGCGTCTTCGCCCAGCAGCTGCTCAATGGCCTTGCGCTTCTCAACAAGGCTCGCTTGATCCACTGCGACCTGAAGCCCGAAAACATTCTTTTGAAGAACCTGGAGAGCCCTATCATCAAGATTATTGATTTCGGCTCCGCGTGTGACGAGCGCCAGACTGTGTATACCTACATTCAGTCTCGATTTTACCGTTCTCCCGAAGTCCTGCTGGGGTTACCATATTCGTCTGCCATCGACATGTGGTCTCTTGGCTGCATCGTGGTCGAGCTGTTCCTGGGTCTCCCCCTCTTCCCTGGATCGTCCGAGTACAATCAAGTCTCACGAATCGTCGACATGCTCGGCAACCCGTCCAACTGGATGATCGAAATGGGAAAACAGGCCGGCGAGTTCTTTGAGAAGCGGCAGGACGAGTTTGGGCGCCGCACATATCAGCTCAAGCCCATGGAACAATACGCACGGGAACACTCAACCAAGGAACAACCCAGCAAGAAATACTTCCAGGCGAACACTCTTCCGGACATCATCAAGACCTATCCCATGCCGCGGAAGAACATGAAACAGAACGAGATCGACAGGGGTACGCCTGGCCACCCTGGTATGACGGGGACGACTGCTGACAGAATGTGTAGAAATGAACAACCGCATCGCTTTCATCGACTTCGTCCGCGGGCTGCTCAATATCAACCCGCTAGAGAGATGGTCTCCACAGCAGGCTAAGCTGCACCCTTTCATTACTCAACAGAAGTTCACTGGTCCCTTTGTACCCCCCATGAACCTCAAGTCGAGCTCGCTTAACAGGTCTCCGGCTCCTGGTACGCAGCAACAGCAGCAAGCAGAGGCGCTGAGCAAACAGCGTGCCCAGGCAGCCCAGGCACAGGCCCACTCGGCGGCGCAGGGGGCTTATGCATCGATGAACGCGCAATACCAGCAGGCCGGACACGCCCCAGCAACGCAGTCCATGTATGGTAGTAACGTCATGTACTCTCCTGGCGGCAATCACGCCCCACAGCCGCCTGCCTATGGCCCCCAGCCGGGTGGTTATGGGCAACAGCAGGTGGTCTTGTCTCAGGCGCCGCAGCAGATGCCTGCAGCTCCTTATGGCCAGCAGCCCAACATCAACCAAGGCGGTCTCTACCCGCAAAACAACATGCGCGCCGGGCGCCAGCGGGCTTCGACAATGGATCAGCAGCAAAGCGGGATCCCTGCTGCCATCCAGCGCGTTGCTAGCCACCTTGACCCCAGTCAGCCCATCAGGCTTCAACCGAGCCCAGCATACTACCCGCCACCGGGCGAAGGTATGTCGGGGGTTGAGGGCACGCCAGGCAGGGCAGGACGACGCGATAGCCGCGCGCAGCAACAGGGGCGGAGGGGGAACAACCGCGATTTCATCCGCAACCTCGAGGAGCGGACGCTCGAAGAGGGCTTCATGGGTAGCCAGAATAACCCCTGGCACTGAACAATGACTTGACGTCGTCCAGTCGAGTGAGACGGCGACGGGCTTATCGATCGGTCGAACCCCAGAAGTTGTCAGAAGCAGCCGGGGTTTTGTACGAGGGACCATAACCCTTCAGAAATGTCATCCCACGTCGAGAGCTGGCGCAAATCGCCCATTGTCTAGTAAGACGTACAAGAGCCGGCACGTGTAGGAACTCCAGGCCTGAGCCCGGTCAGAAGCCCACGAAATCAAGGGCATCGATGTGGAGGAAGGGGCGCGGCGCAAAGAACATGGCCCGGACAGATTGGCGCCAGGGACAAAACGTGCTTTTGACTGCGACAACGACGACGCGGCCCCGACCAGATAGAAACCACGCGTGGCGCTGCTGGCAGCAGAAGCTGGAGATCAAGAGGATGGATACCATGAACGATGACGAAAGGGACGGACGGGCGGGAGGGCGGACGGGAGGCGGAAATATTGCAGCATCTTATAACGCGGATGGAGGGCATTGGCGGCTTTCTTCTCTTCCTAGGTACCGCCAGAGAGGGGATTGTGGGAGGGTAGGACGGGGAATGACTTTGAGCAAAGGGAGCCTCAACAGGCTTTGTACTTTGGATCCTATCCAGGCTGATTAAATGCTGTCTGTACTCAGTGACAGAAAGGGCAGTCCTCTTGAGAAATCAAGTGTGTCAACTTTTTGCGGATTCTGTATTGTCGTGTTCTGCTGAGTTATCTTTCAAAGCAGCAGGACATGGGTAGAGAAACATTACTCACCATCCAAATGTGCATTCAGCACCAAAAGATGACAGCTCCATATGAAGTGTGCCAGTGTCCCGGGGGAAAGTGATGAGACCAAATATACCTAGGTGACGGTTGGCGGGCAAGCAGGAAGGCGCGCGGTGGGGACGCCTTTCGGGTTGGCCATGAGGGTGCCCAGGTCTCTGTAGGTACAGACTTTTTGGTGGGTTGATGAGTTTGGCTGGCCTCCTAAAAGTGGACTGTGGCGCCCGAAGAATGGGCCACGAACGACGACTAGGTACCTACCTTAGGTAGGTACCTGACTTAGGTACCTATGTAGGGGTCAGTCCAATTGAATAACAGGTCGGTAGGTAGGTAGCTCATCACACGCGTTGGAGCCGATGCCTTTACCAACTCGACACAACCTACATACTATACCTAATCACCAAACCGCCACCCCTGGATAGCCTTTTGCGCAAACGTCACAGTAGAGTCTTGCAACCTGCTTCTCTCTTTTCTCTCTCCTGAGTTCACTTGGGACTTTCTGTCGCGACTCTCGTCGGCCAGCGCCTTCAAGAACAGAGAGTGCACCCATCCTCTTCTCCGCCCCCCCTGTCTGGCCTGCTCTCCTGCACCCGCCACAAATCACCAACAACCATGGCCAAGGTCGCAGTCGATTTCGAGAAGATCGTCCACGAGGGTGAGTCGCTCTGGCCACTATGCTTGCGATCCGACAGCGTTCTGATGAGGCGATACAGGCCGTGAACGTCAGAAGAACCAAGCCCTGGCCCAGAAGATCTTCTCCAAGGACAGAAGAAAGAGTGCTCCGTCCAAGATCAAGCCCGGGACAGGGCCTTCGCTTGCGAGCAGGGTGGGCGTCAAGAAGGTAGGCCATTGCGCAGTCCACCCGTCTCTCTCAGCCTTGATGGCATGTGGTACGAAGCTAATCCAGGCTCGGTCTGCAGCAACGCGCTTCCCTCGGCCCAGCGAAAGCTTCGAGCGCGGGCAACATCAACGGCGAATGGACCCACGATCTCCACAGCTCCGTCAACGATCCCAGGAACAACAGCCTCGCGTCGCGCATCTCGACGCCTGGGAGCAAGAATGTCGCCGTCGGGCCCAAGGGCAAGCGGGCTGAGAAACGCGCCGCCAAGATGGTCGACGCCCTCGAGCGGACAGACTTGCTCCAGCAGAAGCCGAGTCCCGCGTCCAAGGGCCCGGGCCTGTCCATCCGCGGACTCGCAGGGCCGTACGCCGTCATGGCGCAGAACTTTGCGCCTGGCACCACGGCGGCGGACATTGAGAGCGCCATGACGCCCGTCGGCGGCGAGATGATCAGCTGCACCGTCATCAAGACGCAGCCCATCATCATTGTCGAGATGGTCTTTTCGTCCAAGGAAGGAGGCGAGGCGGTCATTTCGACGTTCAACGACCAGACGGTATGCTTTTGCTGGCACGGGGCTCGCCGACATGAAGTGAATATTTGGCTAACCCGGACGTGCTAGGCCGACGGTCGACTCATCAAGGTGTATCCCAAACCGGGCGGTTACAAGGACCCTGCCACGCAGAGGAGTGCTGCGGCCCCACACAACGCGCCCAGCGGGCCACGGGCTCAGAGATCGAACGCCGGCAACATTGTCGACGGCTCGCACGGGTTTCAGGACGAGGACAATGACGACGAGCAGCCCTACTACTACAGCACGGAGCGAAGCGGTCTCTACAGCGATAAGCTCGTCGGAAACAGCCGCAAGGGTCGGGGGCCCCAGCAGCGCAGCAGGGGAGGTCGATAAGCCTAGGGATGTGAGCAGACGCGCATGGGTCAGGGCGGCGGGACACCACGGGCGTTCGGTTGCGGGACATTGACGGCCGGTTTTGATGGGCTGCTGTACTTGCCATCTGAAACCTTGCTAGAAAGGAAGGAGAGAACGGAAGAATCTGGCTGATTCACTGTATCATAACACGAGCAAGGTTGCTAGATTGGGTATATGACTCTAATGTAAGCGGTTGAGCGAATATGGGTGCTGACATGGGCGTGACTATATCTATTATATGACAAGAGTTGTACATCGCTATTCAGCGGGGCATTACCACTCCAACTTTTCCGACATTGATCTTTTAGCGTCCCTCTCCTCTCCAATGATGCTGGCCGGCAGCTGCTGTCGGAGTTCGGTAAAGACGACTACTTGCCTATTGAGGCTGTCTCGCCTCGTCTGCAAAACCTTCATAGTCTTCCGGTCGAGCACGTCCTCGACGCGTCCGATGCGCCCTGCAATGCCGACCATCTCGCGCGCCAGCCCGACGACCTCGTTGACGCGCTCATACGCGCTGGTGTCCCTGATCCATGGCTTCCGGCTCTCGACCATCCTCGGCAGCCCGACACTCTCGCTCGCAAGACGGTACGGTTCCCAGACCTTGTCGAGAGCGTCCGCGAGGCGCTTGCAGTACGGCTTCCACTCGTCCATGTTGGCAGGGGAAAAGTCCTCGCCGCGGCCTTGGACGAGCTGGAGGTAGAGAGCAAGCGACTTTGGATCCGTCCGGCCAGCGGCTGACATGCTGTCCACTATGGCGGCTGCATTGGCGGGCATGCGCGGGCTGTTCTTGTCGCGGAGGCAGGTGGCGAGAGCAAGGCGAAAGAAGTAAGGGGTCGCGAGGGGTGGGGGGATGGCGGCCGCGAGGCTGGCAGCATCGGCGCTGGCACGTCCGAGGTGGAGGAGGCGAAGCATCTGCTCCCACAGCTTGGCGTCGGGTTTGACGGCGTAGGTGTCAAGAATGTGAAGCCAGTACCGGATGCCGGCGCGGGTGAGGCGGGCATCGGTGAGGATGGTGATGAGCAGAGACAGGGTGTTCTTCCCGGGGACAGCATAAGGCGCAGTCCTTTTGCTGGAGGACTTGGGCGATGGCGGCGCGGGGTCGACGGTATCGTGGGGCTTGGCGTTGCTGTCCTTGTCGAACCTCGGCAGGTTCATCGTCTCAGCTGCCAGGATAAGAATGTCCTGGCTGCGGGTTGACTTGTCGAGAAGTAGCACGCGACCCATGGCGCAGACGAGATGCTCATCAATGACGAGGTCGCCCTTGCGCCAGTTGCGCATGACTTCCTCCCATAGAGACTTGCATCGTTCAATAGTCTGAGCTACATGCTCTTTCCGCAGCTGCTGCGATGCAGTCTTGGTAGACGCGGGGTCTTCCGCCGAAGCGCGTAGACTCTGTAGGATGGCGGTATAGGTATGTGTGTCGGGCTTGAGCTTGCTGTCATCGAGTGAATCGAGGAGGGAAAACATGGCGTCGAGGTCGCCGGCGCGGCCACAAGCCTGGAGGACTGCGTTCAAGTGGATGATGTTCGGCTTGAGCCTTGCGTCTTTGGTCATCGACTTGTATAAGCGGACCGATTCAGCCACGGCGAGCTTGGGATACGTCGAGCGGGCGCAGCCGCGAAAGATGATGGTATACGTGAGCTCGTCGGGGTGCTGACCACGCTTCTTCATGTCGTTCAAGAGGCGGACAGCGGCGTTGAGCTTCTGGTTCTTCATCTGGAAGTCGATCAAGTGATTCCAGGAGACGACGCACTGGGCCGTCTTGCTGGCCTGTTGTACAAGGAGGAGGGCCTCATCGTAGCGATCCTTTGCGAGAGTGCGGCTGACATGCTGTGCAATGATGAAGGGGTCGTCCATGCGCTCAAGGTGCTTCTTAACCGCCCATTCAAGCTTCTGCCTGTCTTTTAGATCCGACCTGGTGCTAGGGCGGGTCTGTCGTGAAGTAGTAGAGGCTACGGGGGCTCGAATCGCATCTTCGATCGACGAGGTTGCGAATGACCTGGTATGTTGAGAGGAAGCGGCGATGCTGAGGATCGCTAGATCGGTGGGCATAGATGAGCTTGTCGCCGAGCCCAAGGCTCTGCGAAGGCAGGCTCTACATGAAAACATTGGAATGATTGCTGCGCGAAAAGGCCCAATGTGAATAATCGTCTCTGAAGCAATGATACATGACCAAGCCATCAGGTTCCATCTCGGGAGTTTTTTCGAGAGTCTGATTGCGTTCTTGAGCGATAAGATCTTATCTAATCATCCGTTATCCACCCACTGGGAGTGGGGGCTAGAGCATGGGTTTGAAGGGAACGCGTCGTCAAGTGAACGCGCGAAACGCGTGCTGAACGTGATTAACGCGTCTCCTAACGCCCACTTTGTCTTGTCACAGTACCTATGTCGACCAGCCAGAGCCCCCTGGCAGGACAACCAAGCTCTTGTCCACACCACACACCACCATAACACTTCCCCGCCAACCCTCACCAGTTCCCTTTCCATTCTGCTGATTCGATCGGTCATGAACCAGACTCTGTCATAGTCCAACTTTTCGTTTCACCCCGTCCGCACCATGGGGAAGACAGACAGGCGCGCCAAGCTGGCCGAGCTGAAGGCTCTCCGGCAGGCGGGCAAGAAGGCTTTCGACAACTACCAAGTCGACGATATCAACGAACTTTACGAAGAGGTCGATGAAACGCAGTACAAGAAAATAGTACGTGATCGTCTCAACGAAGATGACTTTGTCGTAGACGACAACGGCGAGGGCTATGCCGACGACGGCCGCGAAGAATGGGATCGTGTGCAGCAGTACCACTACGCTTCTGACAGCGAAGAAGATGGGTCCGGCGCCAGGGGAAGGCCAACAAAAGCTTGTCAGTACTTTGGTTCCGTCTCTAACACTGTCAGGCGGCTGACAATCCGCAGCCAAGAAGAAACAAGCCGACGACGCAGCCAGGCGGGAGGCGAATGATCGAGACATCAGTACATACTTCACCAGTGGTGCCGGCAAGACGCAAGCGAAACCAAAGGTGAGTCGCTGGATCCCAATCAAATAAGCCTGGCTCACACAACCCTAGGTTGCGAAAACGAAGGAAGACGACGACTTCCTCGCAGATCTCCTCGGTGAGGTCGACACCAATGTTCCCGCTCCAGTGCCCCGTTCCACGAAACGTCACCGATCACCCGATCGCCAACAACGGAGAGTTCGAGTCGCTTCTCCCCCGCCACATGAGCGGTCCCAACCGTTGGCGAAACGAAGTAAGATTCGGGATGATCGACCATCGTCCCCTCCTGCTGCGGACGATATGCTCGTGGACGACAATTCTGTTCCCACCATGGACGACGACGAACTGCCGACCCAATTTCCCATGGGCGACCCTGCACCCTCTTCGCCGGCAGCCAAAGTCGCAGAGCGCAAGGCTCAGATTAAGAAAGAGCCCGACGATGACGATGACGACATGATGGAGGTCGCTCATGCCGGCACCGTTACTGCTGCCAGTGTCAATATTACTGGGTCCAGACCACCCAAGAAGTTGATCAAGCCCGAGCCCTACCCAGCACCCATCACGTCATCACCTGTCAAGCAAGAATCAGCTATTGACCCATCCGCGTGGAACGACATTACAAACAACCTCAATATCGTCAGCAACTCGGTCTCGGAAGTCAAGAGCATCCGCAAGATCGACTACAAGGACGCCATCGAAGAAGATGGTAGCCTGAACATGTTTTGGACAGACTACACCGAAGTCAGTGGCAGCTTGTGTCTCTTCGGCAAAGTCCTGAACAAGAAGACTGGCCAGCATGTCAGCTGTTTCGTCAAAATCGACAACATTCTGCGCAAGCTCTTCTTTCTACCACGCGAGACTCGCGTGCAGGGTGGTATCGATACGTGCGACGAGGTTGGCATGGTGGACGTGTACAGTGAAGTGGACGCCCTCATGACTAAGATGAAAATTGGCAAGTACAAGACCAAGTCTTGCAACCGAAAGTACGCTTTCGAACTACCAGACATTCCCAAGGAAGGCCAGTATCTCAAGTGCCTGTACCCCTACAGTATGGCGCCTGTTGATGCTGGCGAAACGGGCGAGACCTTCTCGCACGTTTTTGGCACCAACACGGCACTCTTTGAGCAGTTTGTTCTCTGGAAGAACATCATGGGGCCTTGCTGGCTGAACATCAAGGATGCCGACTTCAGCTCACTCCAAAATGCCTCTCACTGCAAGCTCGAAGTCCTCGTTGAGCACCCGAATATGGTCGCATCTCTCCGTGATTCGGAGAACCTCGATACTCCTCCACTGACCCTCATGAGTCTTGCTATGCGAACGACTTTCAATGCTAAAGACAACAAACTCGAGATTCTGGCTCTTAGCGCTAGAGTCTACGAAAAGGTCTCGCTGAGTGACACCACTCCAGCTGAGAAACTGCCGTGCCGGACCTTCACTCTCGTCAGGCCGAATGGGTCAGCCTTCCCTGGCGGATTTGAGAAGCTAGCCAAAGACAGGAGCAACAAAGGTCTAATCAAGACGTTCAAGCAAGAGTCGGAAATTCTCATGTTTTTCCTTGCTCAGCTCGACATAGTGGATCCTGACGTGATATTGGGCCATCAGCTCGAAGGCGTGGATTACAGCGTTCTGCTCAACCGGATTCACGAGAAGAAGACACCGCAGTGGTCTCGTCTCGGTCGCCTGCGACGAACTGTATGGCCTTCTTCCATTGGAAAGACTGGTGGAAACGTTTTCGCCGAGAGGCAAGTCATGTCAGGACGCCTTCTTTGCGACTTGGCCAACGATGCCGGTAAATCTGCCATGTACAAGTGTCAGTCGTGGAGCTTGACGGAAATGTGCAGCCTGTATCTCTCGGGAAACAACCATCGCCGAGAGCTCGACAATGATGCCGCGCTCAAGACCTGGGCTTCCCACTCGAAAGAAGGATTCATGGACTACGTCACCCATATCGAGGCGGACACGTACTTCATTGCAGCCCTGGCCTTACAAGTTCAGCTGCTGCCGCTGACGAAGGTCCTCACGAACTTGGCTGGTAACTCCTGGGCCAGGACACTGACCGGAACTCGTGCTGAGCGAAACGAATACATTTTGCTCCATGAGTTCCATCGAAACAAGTATATTTGCCCCGACAAACAAGGCTTCCAGAGGGGCAAGGGCGCCAAGGAGGACGAAGAGGGCGACAGCAAGAAGAAGGACAAGTTCAAGGGTGGCTTGGTGTTTGATCCCGAAAAGGGTCTGTACGACAAGTTCGTCCTTGTCATGGACTTCAACTCTCTATACCCGTCCATCATTCAAGAGTTCAACATTTGCTTCACCACTGTCGATCGAACCGCAAAAGTAAGTAGTCTTTACATCGAGAGCATAACGCTAGAGTATTGCTGACTATCTTATAGCTTGAGGATGAGGAAGAAGTACCCGAGGTTCCCGTGGACCAAGAGCAAGGTATCCTACCCAAGCTTATTGCCACGCTCGTCAGCAGAAGAAAGCAAGTCAAGAGCCTCATGAAGGATAAGACTGCGACGCCCGAGCAGCTCGCTACTTGGGACATCAAGCAGCTTGCCCTGAAGCTCACAGCCAATTCTATGTACGGCTGTTTGGGTTACACCAAGTCTCGATTCTACGCCCGTCCCCTCGCCGTCTTGACGACGTACAAAGGTCGTGAGATCCTCCGAAGCACTAAGGAACTGGCCGAGAGCAGAGCTCTCCAAGTCATTTACGGCGACACGGATTCCGTCATGATCAATGCCAACGTCGAGAATGTGGCGGATGCTTTTAAAGTCGGCGCCGAGTTCAAAAAGGCTGTCAACGAGCGGTACAGGCTGCTTGAGATTGACATTGATAATGTCTTCCGACGCATTCTGTTGCAAGCAAAGAAGAAGTATGCTGCCATCAACCTTGTCGAGAACAATGGCAAGTACATTGAGAAGATGGAAGTGAAGGGTCTCGACATGAAGCGTCGCGAGTACTGTGGGCTCTCAAAGGAGATTTCTGGGAAACTTCTTGACGAGATCCTCTCTGGCGAGGACACAGAGGTGTCAATTTCGCGCATTCACGACTATCTACGTGAGATCGCCGCCAAGATGAGGGAACAATCGATTCCCGCACAGAAGTACATCATTTTCACACAGCTTGGAAAGGGCCCGAAGGAGTACCCCAATGGCGACACGATGCCTCAGGTCCAGGTCGCGCTTCGTGACATCGCTCGCGGCAAGAACGTTCGCAAGGGCGACGTTATCAGCTACATCATCACAGGCGACGGGCAGAGCTCTGAGCCCGCGCCCAAGCGAGCGTACACGCCTTCTGATGTACTCAAGCCCGAGTCGGGACTTGCACCAGATGTCGAGTGGTACATTGCGAAGCAAATCTTCCCCCCCGTGGAGCGTCTCTGCGCCAACATTGTCGGCACCTCGACGATGCAACTGGCGGAGTGTCTGGGACTGGACATCAAGCGATACGACACGTCGAGGAGACGTGACGACGGCGTAGAGAAGGATATGGAGGTTCATCCTCTCGAGTCCCAGATTCCAGACGATGTTCGCTTTGCCGACTGCACCCGCCTCAGCCTTCGCTGCCGCACATGCAAAAAGTCGTCTGTTTTCGAAGGCCTCTACAGCCAGCCAACACGAGTCTCTCCCGCTGGCGTCCTCTGCGACCACTGTGGCGCAACCATCAGCCCCCTTTCGGTCGTCGCACAGGTAGAGCATGCGATCCGAGTCCAGACAGCCCGCTATTACGAAGGCTGGCTTATATGCGACGACTCATCGTGCGGCATACGTACGCGCCAGATGAACGTCTACGGCACGCGCTGTCTGGGCCCTAAGGGCCTCGCGCGAGACTGCCTAGGCCGTATGCGTTATGACTACTCTGAGAAGGCAATCTACAACCAGCTCGTTTACTTCACCAGTCTCTGGGATGTCGACAAGGCACGCGACAAGGCCATTGCGGCCGCCGCGCCAAGCTCGGAGGAGGCTCTATCGCAGGCGGACCGGGAAAATATCTTGGCTCTAGCGGAGCACAACCGGGTGCGCTTCGGCACCGTCAAGGGTGTCGTTGATAAATATCTCGACAAGTGCGGCAGGCAATGGGTGGCGATGGACACATTATTCGCCAAGCTGGGGTTCAGCAAGGCTCTGGCGCCAGCTGCGTGAGATATCCACGTCAGCGGCTGAGGGGTGGATTCCAGGTTACGAACGGGTATGATAATTGACTGGTAATGGCGCGGGTTCAGCTTTGGCTACTGTAGAGAAGCTTTCTTCATTTTTCTTCTGGCGTTCGTCGGAGAAGCGGTCCAGGAAGGGCATGCCATTTGTCACGTAGTGAAGAGTAGTAGGTGATTCGCTTTAAGTGCGCTCAATGTTTTCCTTCATTCTACCCGTTTAGTCTTATGCATGCATGTCTTGACTATCACCCGACAACAATGCTTAACTTTTGTTTTGTGCTCGTTCCCTTCTTCAATGGTGGATCATTGTAGCATGACCATAAGGCTTTTCTATCCTGCCACGGCCTGAAGGCTACGGAGCATGTTCCGCAACATTGTAGGACCGATTGGATCTAAGCTGACAGGTGTGATGTGCCATTTGAGAATGAACAAACGGAAATGTTCGGACGGGGTCCTTGAACAAAACATAGCACGGCGATCCAACATGAATGATGATGGCTCAAGTGTCTTTACGACAGACATTCTCGGAAGATAAGCAGTCAATCATCACTCCTTCACGGTCTGCCACGAGGCCATCGGCCCTTCGCTCCTCTTGCCAGCGGTCTTTGGAGAGATGGGTACCTGAGAAGGTTGCTTTCATGCCACAGGGTCAGGCAGGCTGTTCACATAAAGCTCGGGGCAAGGGCGGGCATGATATCACAGCAGAGCAGAGGCGGACGACTCGGATAAAATCACTTGTTCACCTGTCCTTGTCGACTAACTTGTGCAACAGGCCCCCAAAAAAAGTCTTCAAAAGATGTGCTTTTCGTGCTTCATACCTTCTCCCATTCGGATTCACTACCCAGGTACCGTCCCAGTCCAGCATCCATCCGTCCGTCCCTCTTCTTTGTGGTCACTGAAGGAAAACTGAATGCGCACCACCACCCCATCGTACAGCGACCGGTCCCTTCCCGTCGCCCTCTTTCACGGCACGTACGCGCTCGATTGCCATGAGACGCGAAAGCAGTGTGAAGGCGAAGGGCAGCCATCATCCATCAGCGTGTGTACCAGAGCACGACGAAGAAACAGAGAGAATCAATCCTCGAATCAATCGGCTCGCATTAGAAGAAAATAAGACGACGTAACGACAAAATGCAAGACGCAAAAGTAGTGAAACAGTGCCGAGGGTGACGGAAAGCCCGCGTTCCCTCCGCGAAAAGGGGAATAGCCCGCCGCCTCCTCCCTCGGCTGATCGTCCCAAAGCGGCTCGTCTATGTCGGTGTCTCGAAGGTGGTATCATGGCCGATGGAAACGATCATCAACTTTTGTAAAACACTGCCTCAGAAACCCCTCCCATGTAAATGCACGAAAACAACCTCGCCCGTTCTATTTGGGAAATGCGTTCGTTGGACTCTGGAAAATCAAAACCTCTAGCCGTCCACTCTCCTCTACTTGCTCTCCTTGGCAGCAGTGCTGTCAGGGACAGCCTTGGAAAGCGCTGGGGAAGCTGCCGTCGAAGGAGGGGAGGCAGGGTTATCGTTGTCCAAGTTGGCAAGGGCACTAGGGGTGAGTTAGCGACGTGTAGTACGGCATATGTGAGCTGTCGGTCAAGCTTACCTGAAGGCGTTCGTGTGTGTAGTAGGAGGCGTTCCCGTGCGCGACGAGGCGTTCGAGTCCTCACCAGCGCGGCCCAGCGAGCCGCCAGGTCCAAGTCGTCGACCGCTGTTGCTACGCGAAGAGAACATGGACGTAGGGCCCAGTGTGACGTTGCCGCTGGCCGCACGACTGGTGGCACCCTTCAGACGGCGCAGATCATCCATACCAACCTGGTTGGATTGCTGCTGAGTGTAATTGCTGAAGCTGCGAGCATCGCCGCGGCCGAAATGGGGACGACCGCCTGGGGCACCGCGTTGGCTGCCGCCGCGGGCGTTCTCCTGAGCCTTCTGAGCAGCGGCGGCTTCGGCCTGTGGAACCGGTTAGCTTTGACGTTACATCACGAAAACGAGGGGCATGTTGTTGACTTGCCTCAGCGCGAACCTCGTCAAGGGTCTTGGGACCCTTGTTAGCCTCCTTCGTGGCCCATCCGGACCTGCGCATGTCGACAACGTCCATCAGCATGAACTTGAGACGGCTGGGAAGGTCAGGCATGTTGACGACGTTTTGAATGCGGTCAAAGTAGGCATCCATGATGCTCTTGCCCTTGGGGCTTGCGTCAAGGTTGGCACCAATAGTCCTGAGCAGTTTGCAAAGCGACTCGATCTCAGCCTCTTCAGGTGTCGTCTCGTAATCGACCAGCTTCTGCACGCAAGCATGCATGATGCGTTCTGTCAGCATACCCAGTTTGTACAGCTCACCAATGAACTGGACAAGACCAAGACCGCGACGCTTGGCGGCGGCAGCAATGTAGTATTCGTCAGACAACATGGCGGCTTCGGCGGATATCTTATTTTCATCCTCAGCCTCCTCGGGCTTGGCGGGAATGTTGACCTTCCAGCCACGCTCGAATTCTTCTTGACACCTGTTGAGGAGGTACTTGCGGAAGAGCGCGCCACCGCTGACGACCTCGCCGTTCTTGTCCTTGAGGTTCTCGTCGCGAATCTCGTGGCTCATGGTATCAAGCATACGCTTGCAGAACTTGGCATACATGGAGGCCCAGTGGGCCTCATCGGTAGCCTTCTCGAAGGTCAGCTGGATGACTTGGCGAAGCGTGCGTCCATCCGACTCGGTCTTGGACTGCGCAACGATGGTCAGGATCTGGTCAGCGATCTTGTCGAACTTTTCCGGCGTCATCTTGTTGAGTGCAGCCTTGACCTTGCGCTGAACCATCTCCGGGTCCATGTTGCCAGTGGGCGCCGCCGCGGCAGGACCCTTGCCCAGGCTCGTGGGCTTCCAACCCGAAGAGGAAACGGTGATAGGCTTCAGGTCCATTCCCTGCGTAAGAGGCATGGTCTTAGCAGCCTGCGCTTCCTTGGCACCAAAGTTGTCACGCCTGCTGTTGCCCCTCTGGCTGCCACCAGGGCCGCGACGCGAGTTGGACGGGTTGATATTGGACGACGACGCGTTGCGGGAGATAGGGGGTCCCATGGGGAATCCACTGCCGGTGCGGCCGAAGGAGCCCATGCCGCCGGCCGCAGGGGCCGTCGCACCACTAGCAAGAGCCGCGTTGGACATGGCGAATCGCTGCTTGGACGTTGTGCCGCGCACGCTCGGGTTCGAAATGAACTGGCCCATGTTGGGCTGGCTCGGGGTGAAGGCCCCAGACCTGGAAGGTTGTCGGCTGGAGCCGGGGCGAGGGCTCGACGCCGAGCGGGAGCCGTCCTCACCAATCAAGGCCTTAACCTGATGGTGAAACTCCATGGACGGCTGCTCGGTGAAGACCTTCTGGAACTGGAGCAGGAACTGCGCGTCGTACTTGAACGTCTTGCCCTTCTTCGCAACCGCAGCGTTCAACGCCGGGTTGGGAGAGCTGATGCCAGCTGGGTAGATGTCTTGGTTGATGACCGTCAGGAAGCGGGCCGACTTGAGCGACTGGAGGGCAGCGCTGGGCTGAGGGGGCTCGACAGGCTTGGTGTTGATGGGAGCCAGGTTCAGCGCAGCCGGCTTGGTAGCGCGCGCCTTCTCGGCAGGCGCAGCCTTGGATGACTTGTCTCCAATGTTGAGGTTGGCGAGCTTGTCGGTGACATCGCCGACCTCCTCGGGCGCCTCCTTGCCCGCGAGGGCGTCGGCGACTGATGCAGACTTGCCGGAGGCTTCGGCGGCCGCACGCTTCTTTTCCTTCTCCTCTTCGAGACGCTCAGCCTCACGCTCAGCGTCGCGAAGCTTCTTATCCGCCTCGGCCGCGGAGGCTGTCTTGTTCTCGGCCTCCAGCTTCTTCATCTCGGCAGCGTCAGCCTTCTTCTTAGCCTCGTACTCGTTGGCGGCCTTTTCGCGACGGGCATCCTCCTCTTCCATCTCACGAATCATGCGCTCCATCTCGTCTTCTTCGCTCTCGACGTTGGCTGCCGGCTCAGCAGGCTTCGACTCCGCCTCCTTAGTCGCCTTGGGTTCCTCCTTCTTGGTCGCCTCGGCGGCGGGCTCTTCAGCAGCCTTGGGCGCTTCGGTAACCTCCTTCTTGGCCTCCTCGACGGGTGCAGCTTCAACAGGCTTGACCTCGGTCTTAGCGGGCTCAGGCTTGGCGGTCTTGGTGTCCTTGGACTCGCCGCCGGCAGCCAGGAGGACCTTGGCGCGCAGCTCCTCCTGGATCTCCTTTGCCGTCTTCGGTGCGCTCTCCGTCCTGTTGTGGTCAGGGCGCGCAGGGGTGGCGCTCTTGGGTGCCGGAGAGGGTGTGGTGGCGATGACGGGAGGGGTCCTGGTCTGCTGGGTGCTCGGGGAGGGCGAAGCAGGCGTCTTCATGCTGGAGAAATCGACCGTCTCGCCTTGGGCGTTCTTGATGACCACGGCGGCACTCTTCTTGGGGCGCGTGAAAGGAAGGGCCGCAGCGCCCTTGCCTTGAGCGTTCTGCTGGGGCGCACCCGAGACGATGACTGGCTGGCTAGGCTGGCCGGTGCTGGAGGTGGGGCGTTCAGAGTGCGAGGAGGTGCGCGACATGCTGACTGGGGCAGCGGTGTGGTAGGGAGGAGGGACGAAGCCCTGCTGGTAGTTGCCGGCTGGCGAGCCGCCAGGGCCTTGCTGCATGTAGGGCTGGGGCATGTAGTAGGGTGCCTGTCGAGCGTCGAATTGGCCGCCTTGGGGAGGGTATCCATACTGTTGTTTAGCTGTCAGCATTCGTTCGAAATTGCCCGATTCGGGAGATAGATCAAATTTAGCAGGTGACTGGGTTAGCAGGCTCTTGTGCGAGGGAGGAATTAAAAAGCAAGGGGCATCCGGGTGAAGTGACGGCGTCGCGTGCAAGGGGCCCGTGTTGCGACCGCTGAGAGCTGCTTCTTCGGAAGCTTGAGTCCATGGCGCTTCTCCGCATGATACTTCTCCGCGTCTACTTGGACGTCGAGACTTCGAGGTCTGCGCCTTGGACAAGCCGCGATGGCGAGAGTTGATTAGCTGCCGGTCATGGTCGGGATACTTCTCCTGATCGCGGCGGCCAGACTTCTTCTTGTCGGGCTTGGAAGGAAACGAATCTGCAAGGAAAGGGAGGGTATGTACTTGGTGGGGGGGCATGCCAGGTGCCGGGTAGTGGTACTGCGTCTGGTTGGGCATGCCGTTGTGCATCTGGGCAGGAGCCATGTTGGGCGTGCCGGGTTGAGAGTGCGTCAGCGCCGGGCTACGCGCGGGGCCGGGAGAGTTGGGGTAACCCATGGGGCGATTAGCCGGGTGGAATGCAGGGGGCATGCCGCCGCGGCCACGGCCGGGGCCAGGCTGGAAGTTAGGAGGGAATCCCTGGCTAGCATTAAAAGGAGGGTGAGCCGGGTTGTAGGGCGTGTTGCCACGGCCACGTCCGCCCTGGGGAGTGAAGTTGGGACGGTTGCCGGCAGCACCGCTCATGTCGCTCTGCTGAGAGACGGCGGACTCGCGGCGGATATGGGCACCGGGCTGAGAAGCCAGGGCAGCCGGGTTCTGAGGCGTGGAAGCCTGTCTCATGTGACGCTGTGCACAGACTATCGTCAGCTCGGGGCTTTCTTGAGAAATACGCATCTTCGGGTGACGAAAAGTCTTTTTGGGGCGGGGAAGAAAACTTACGTCGCCATCACTGCCGAGGCTGCCAAAGGTCATGTTGCCCTGCTGGGCAATGCCCGAAGGAGGACGACCACCACTGGCAGAGGGCTGGGGGATGGGGGAGGGAGAGTGCGCGGGAGACGGGACCCTGGCGCTCTGGTTGCCACCAGGAATGGGGATGGGGGCGGCGGACATCTGAGGCGAGCTATGGGCGATAGCAGGCGAGTCCTTGAAGCCGAACTGGATACCGGACTTGGAGCCTCCTCCAGCAGCACCACCGTTGGCGGCGTAGCTGTTGGGGCCGTTGGCGCTGATGGTAACGGAGCTCTTCCGGCTATGTTCGCCGGCGCCGTTCATATTGTTCGAGTTGTTGTTGGAGCCGTGAGCAGCTGCGGGAGCAGGCACGGCAGGGGTGATGGGAGGTCGTCCGTTTACTGGTGAAGGGCCGGAAGACTTGGCATGTTGCGCGGAAGAGCCGCCAACAACCACAGGAGTAGACTGGTTGGAGCCTGTCGCGATCAGAGGCGTCGAGGCTGGCTTCTTGGATGCACCTGCTGCAGAGGCATACGAAGGGGCAGAAGCAGCAGAGGAGTTCGGCGCCGGGTTGTTCTGAGAGCTCGCAGTCGAAGTCATATGTGGATCAGCGTTTGTCGCGTCGTCGACGAGTGACGAAGAGATCGGTGGCCGGAAAAGACGCTGGTGGTGAGCGATGAAAGAAGGGGGCGAGGAAGCAGATCGAATCGCGAGTGGGATTCGGAAGCACGAGGAGACGGGAGACGGGCCGTGAGAGCTCGATGAGGGCAACGAGCTGAAACGAGCCGGTGGAGAGGCGAGCAGACGTGATGCTGATATGACGGTAGATGGAGGCGATGGAGGTGTCGCGACGAGGTATATCGAGGTCAGGGCTGATCAAAGACAGGCCGACGTCGATAGAATCTCGTGTGAGAAAGAACGGAAATCGCAGCTGCCAGCGAGCGAGTGCGACCCAGGTACAGGCGTCTCGAGGATTAGATCTGCCGTCGAAAAGAGCGAGATCGAGATCCGAGGAAGGGAGATTCTTCTTGGGAAAAGGGTATTATCCACAAGAAAGAGAAGTTGGCCGGGCAAAGAAAAATATCTTGCACGGGGGCCAAATGGATGGTTGTTTGGTGATGGGTAGGTGGAGGGTTTTGCGAGAGGGAAGGGCCCGTCCAAATTTTTTTGGGTGAGGAGATATGGCTAACCGGGCAAGAGCTGGGGCGCGCAAGGGTGGATGGGGGTGAATGGGTGGATGGGCCTACCGAGACGGGGGGCTTTGGGCCACTCGGGGGGGGGGGGGGGTGCAGTGAGCCGGCGCAACATCAGTGATGCCCCATTTTCCTGTGGGAGAGTGGTGTGTGTGGCAGAGGGGATAGCACGGAAAGTGAGTGAGTGGGTGGGTCCACAGTGCTTCTAACAGACCTTGTCGGAGACACTTCGTCCCCTTCCCTTTTCCTGCCTTTCTGCCTGAGTCGGAGTCGGGTTTCCTGCTGTACACACACAGTACCTAGCCATCATAATTTTTTACCTCAAAAAATATACTTTACTACCAACCTCGAACAGTGTGAAAGCCCCGATGACGGGAGCATCGACAGGCCGCCGACACTAGCCTTGAGTACCTCTTGCAAGCTTCCCTTCATCAGTGATGGAAGGCGCTTTACCCGTTGCCAGTGATTTGTTAAATGCAATATACGGATTTCCCGTCATTTCGACACCCCCCCGCGTATGCATTGTCCGATGGTTTGTCCAGGCATCCAAGCAACACAGGGTACAGTAAGCTACCTTACCCAAACAGAGTGGCTACAAGATGAGCAGCCCATCACATGCATCGAATCAACGCTCTCTTGGGAATACTCAGAGACAGTTTGATGGAGTAGTTTCGTGCGCAAACAGTGTACCAAGGGATAGGGCTGTGCCACCATCAGCTCGTGCGTGTGCGACCTGCATCGTGGGGATTTCTTCTTGCCAACACTTTTTGACTATCCGAGCCTGTGGAAGAAGCAGCGCTCATTTGCTTTTGCAGTCAGCCCAGACGAATGGATGTCCAGTCGAAATGGCCTCAAACCCCACCACCGTGCCCTGTGCCTACCTATGTACTGATTGTTGATTTATCACTCACTTGGGGGAGGGGGGGGGGTCTATTTGTCCTCACTTTGCAATGTTTCGGGGTACGATTTTATGCAAAATCACCTTGTTTGCCCGACTGTCAGATCGGGACAGAAACGAACCCGAACGTAGAGGGCACCTCATCATCAAAATTACCTCGTCCTTGGCCAGTTTCAGAAGCATCACCACGCTTCGCGCCCCGAGGAACAATTAACCCACCCATGGCCGAATGCTGGCACGAGCGCCAAAAGGGGCCTTTAATTGAGGGTCGAGATTCGGCCCCAATTTAGCAGTCTGTCCGTGCCCACCCTGGGACCTGTGTTACGCGCAGGCAAGCCACGCCTGAGATTCGCCTTGTTCCTCATCCACTGTACAGTCTTTCCCCCTTCGCCCTTCGACTCCTGCACTGTCATTTGCCATTATGCTGCCGGCTTCGACTGCCAGGTGCCTGGGGCAACCACCTTGTCCGATATTCCAGCATAATGGGGGCTCAACTCGATATGCATGCCCCCCAAAGCACTCCTATTGTTCACGGAACTGCCTAATGGCTGCCTCCCATCCCGTCCCCCTTGCCCCGTCCTGTCCTGCTCTCAGACCTTCGCCACCCAACCTTGACCTGGCAGTACCAGGCGCAACGCTGACAAGACGCGCAACCATGTTTTTACCCGATCTTTTCTTGCCAGCGTCCTCGGAACCCTTGCCGTATGGCCTGCTCGGCTTTGGGTTGGCTGCCTGGAAGCTAGTACACAGCAGCTTGCTCTGTTGCCCTAGGGCGAAAGTGGCCAGAGGCGCTCGCTCATCAGCCTGCGTGCGCGCTGGTCTCGAGCGCCGAGGATCAGCAATGCGAGCTTGTCCGAGTCTTTCGTCATTGTGCATGGCGCGTGGGAGATCTCGTCTGCTAGGGTCCCAGACTGCTGACCCGTCGAGGCAGGTCATTGTCCTAGCCAGTATTACCATTGGCGTCGTTGTATCGGGCCCAATGCCTTCCACATGTCGCACAATGTTTGAGTGCGATGAACCCCTAGTTGTAAAGCAGCATGTGCTACAACGGGACATGCTGGTGTCCGTATATGTGAGGGACTACTACTGCCGCTATCAGGCGTGTCAAGTGCGGACCTAGGTAATGTTCTGGGCCTGACAACAGTCAACTCGTTATCATGTCCCCTGGTGGTTTCGAGTCCATTTGATGACGATAATACCATTTGTTGGTCGACTGTCTAGTGAAATCGCAAGCCAGTGCCAAGAGTTGAATCCATAGTAACAAGTATCAACATCCCTCTTCCATTTACAGCACGTAGCTGCGTTATCGATCCATTTGTTGCCCTACAGATGCATGTTCGAAGGGCATACGGCTGAACAGATGTCAGAGTAGAGGAGTACGAAACCACAATTTAGGCTCCTGTAGCGCTGGATAACCACCCTTTGATATTCGCTAATCTAGGTCCATGATCCTTACCCCACTGCCGTCCAGGGCAGCCGTCAACCGAACGAGTCTACGTATTTGAAGTCATCAGCCCTCCGTTTCCGCAGCCACCGAATCAGGATCCCCCTCGCCAACCTCCTGATCACCAGCCTCGTCTGCAGGCGCCTCTTCAATAGCCATTAGGCCAGCACCTCCTGGGTTCTGTTCAGCCTCGAGCTGCTTGACCTTCGTGTTGGTCATCTGGTACACGAACTGTCCCAGGTGCTCAACGCCCTCCATACATGCTTGACCCGGCACCTCTCCGCTTTCTGAGGCGATAAGTCGCTGAGATGGCCACATTTCACCAGTGACCAGCATCAATTTGTCTGGTCGCTGGAAGAGCTGCTCGAATGCTGGACGTAATTCATAGCATGCCTCAAAAACATCCCGTCGTCCTAAGATGTAGAGACCCAGACGAGCTCGCGAGAGGGCGACAGTCATGCGTCGAACGTCTCGCAAGTAGCCAACCCGAGACGTGCGTGTCAAGGATAAGATGATATCTAAACTAAATGTCAATTTTTGTTTGGTTTGTATGGAAGACAATTGTGAGGCACTTACAGTCATTTTGTTCGCCCTGATACTTGTCGACAGTAGAGACGACACGTGGTCGCCCAAAGACGGCTTTGTTGCTGCATCTATGTGCCAGTACATCGTTGACCAGGGCGCGCTGTCCAGCATATGTCGTGAGAATGCTGATCTTTGACGCGGGATAGCCCAGAAGCCGCATGTATTGGTAGATGGCCACAGCGTATTCGGCTTCGCCGAGGTTCTGGATGAAATGAGGCGTTGGCTCTGCCTCGCCCTTTCCCTTGTAGTCGGGCACGTTGATAAATTGGTAATCAAACTTGAAGCCAGCATTGGCCTTAAGGAACTCGTCGCTTGCTTGTACGTGAGGCAAGCTGTCCAGTTTAGGATACCTCCACTTGTATAAACTGGCAATTGCAGGTCGAGCTCGGCCCTGTTGATCAAGATTGATGGTCGGGACACCGAGTCGCACGAGTCGAGAGAAGAGCGACTGCTCAAGGTTTGCATAATGCCGGAATGCGTGACTCTGGATAACGGGCGAGTTCTGAAGATGATCGCCGCAGAGAACAACACGCTGTAATAAATTCTGCCCATCTTTTGGCTTCTGCATAGCCAAAGGAAGGAAATTCTCAATTTCCGTAATCTGTGCAGCCTCTTCCATGACCACGTTATCGTACCTAAAGCCGAGCGAGGCAATCTCTTCACGCTTAATAGCAGCGTGTGTCGAGGTCATTGCAATGATACGTGCCTCATTGATGAGCAGGTAGTTGGACTTGTCTTTGTCCCTTCGAAGAATTTCGAACGGCAAGACATCAGCCAGCTCTGAGAAAATCTTGGAGATATGACGATAACACCCTTCGGCAATTTCCAGCGCCTTCTGGTGGTCCGCATCATCAGGAAAGAGGGGTTGAGGTGCTGTGGAGAAGAATCTGTGGAAGGGGAAGGCTTCGATTACAGTGGCAGTCATGGCTGTCTCCGACTTTGCTGCTTCCATGAATTTGGCCCACGCAGGCTCAATGTAAACCGAGTTGAAGTAGCCAGCCGTCTCAGCAGAGTTGCCATGCGCACCGGGAGCACCAATACTGGATGCAAGAAGATTGACCTCTTGTAGATAGCGGTCACGGTTGTCCAGGAACGACTCGACTCGACCATGTTTGCTGAAGCTTCCCTCTGTGTAAAGATCTTCTTCTCCATGGCCTAGACGTAGCAAGTGGCGCTCATCAATGTCTAGAGCAATAATCTTGGCGAAGAGTTGGTTCAATGCCTGATTACTGTGTGCGATCAAGAGAGTCCTCTGCTCGGGGAAGTTGTGATAGATGTTGTTGATGATTTGAGACGCAACGTCGGTTTTTCCTGTACCCGGCGGCCCAACAATGACTGTCAAGCCTGGCTGTGACCCGGATGTGATGGCCTCTATCTGGGCCGAAGTGAAGCGAATAGCATTAAGCTTCGGGGCGTCGACTGGGAAGGGACCCTCGTTCGGTGGTCTGTATGTGGACACTTTGACGGTTTCCACCTCTACCGACAGTGGGGGCTCCGCGTCCCGTCTACGCTTCTTGGTGGGTTTCGGCAGCAGGACAGCTGGCGTATCTGCAGCCTCCAGAACGTACGGCGGTCCGAAGCTCCCTGACGCATCGTCGTTAGGCTCAATGATTTTGCCAGGTAGGCTCTCAATGAGGTGTTGCCAGTCAAGAAAGGTGTCCCGATAATCGAGCCTCTTGACCCGATTGGGCAATTGCTTGTAGGTTGCACCGGCGGGATCGCCGTATCCCAGGAATACTTCGTGAAGCCACGACGCGACAGGTACATCGGAGAGTGTCAGGCTGCGTATAGACTCAAGCACCGGTTTGAAGTTGTTCTCTCGCCCACTCCGCCTCAGGATAACGTTGATACGTCCGTAGACGGCAGGTTCGTTTTCACCCGTCAGTTCAGCATCTCTGGCGTAAGTACCAGCATCGAGTTTGAGGCGGAACGTGCGCTTCCCGTCGTGGCGGCCGTTGAGCTCCCGCGCGGTTCTGCCCTTATCGTCTGTGATCGCAATGACTTCTGCTGTCCGGATGGCCGTAACACCTAAGCGCTGGGCTTCCGAGGTGGTCCCTTCGCCATTGGCTGTGCCGTCGGAGGCCGTAGGTTCGATGGCCAACAAAAACACAACATCGTCCGGACGAAGAGAGTCCCAATCTCGGCGGGTGCCCTCGGCGACTCGTCGATAATCTACAGTCAGCTCTGCTCGTACAGTCGATGGCTTGTCGCCTCCGACTAGCGCAGGAACCACTTCGAGTATGCTGTGAAAGAAAAAAAAAAGTCAATTTTTGCAGATACATATTGAGATGACACCAAACACTTACGAAACTTTAGATGCCGGCAGGGCCATCTTTGAAGAGCCTAAAAATTTGACTTCGCCAGGTTTCGGTGCCTCAGGGCGGAGTCGCCGAACCGCAGTCTCAACGTCCTTTCGAATTCCGTAAAAGGCCTCTGATCGGTAAAGCGTCAGAGACCTCCAAAGAAAGTCGCCCACGGAAAGGTATTGCAGGTTTAGTTTCGGCATCGCAAGAGGATGAGTTCCATCATACTTTTCGGCTCGGATAAGGTTGCTTTCGAATAAAGAATTTTCAGTAGGAACCAGGCTGAGGTTTTGGGCTATCTGCTGGAAGGTTTTCCGTCCCTCGTAATTGGAAAGGAGAATCTCGACAAGGAAGCTGTCCTTGTCAAATACTGATTCCAAGCCCGCGGGGTAGCTGGTGCGTAGGCTCAGTAAGCCTACGAGCCGTTCTAGTTCCGCCCGAGGCAGAGGTTCCAGAAGGGCTGCAAGATCTTCCCTCTTGTCGATTGAGCCCACATTAGAGAGCGCGAGAACCAGCAACTTGTCCTGGAAGTGCTTCATGCATACTCTTTGCAGTCGTCCGATCGCAGCGCAATGTTTCTCGTACGCCTCCGTCTGACTTAGTTGTGCCCCGGTTTGGTCATCGATTGTAAAGTACGCATAGTGGCTCAAGAGCACATGCAAGTCCCGGAGAAGGCCATTGTCTTCGTCGTTCAGCATTGGCGAGAGCCGCATAGCCGGCAAGAGATGCAAATCAGCTAGCAGCGTATTGACATATCTTCGAGTCGGCAACTGACTGAGAAGATCTGTGAGGAATTCGACGAATCGCTCACAGTAGAGTATGTGTTCTGTGCTGATTTAGTCAAGATCCCGCAGAACAGGGCGCGACCTCACTTACCAGGCTTCGTGTCTTCATCGTACAATCGTTTCAAGAAGTCCAACACTAGCGTATACAGCCAGGAGCGCTCGAAGCGCAAACGAGCCTTAGTGACTTCGTCTGCTGCTTCATGCCTCTTCGCGGCTGCCCTCCATGCCTTCCTGACATGGGGATATTGCTCCAGCTTCGTCTCCCTGAGCGTGTCTGTCGAAAGGTTGTGCCAAATGGATATTGAGACCAACGGCGCGCACTCTTTCCGCACGATCGCGCAGTCCAGACTCTGGAAGGCTGATATGAGGAATGACAGTAGATGGCTCCTAATGGTCGGGGAGAGGGTAGGATCCAGGGTCATGGTCAGAACCCGGCGGAAAAGACCGGAAAATTCGTCAGGTCTATCTTCGAATATTGTCCACGACTCAAGCTGCTCTTTTCGTTTGACGTTCACGAGCAAAACGATCAGGATGACATGGTGGTTAGAAGAGTCGTCGGAGTAGCCAGGCCACAGATAACTACATTGAGGCACAGATTAGCTTAGCTGTGACAAGATGGAACCAGACATCTCACGGACCTCTCGAGCGTCTGGAGCCCCTCAAGAACAAGCAACGACTTGTCTGGGAAGTTGTCCCGCTCCAGAACCGACCATATATCTTTCTTGAGTATGTCGTTCTTGACCTTGACGACCGAGCCCTTCTTTCTGGGTTTCAACCAGTGTTTCCGCGCCAACTGAGAGAACTCATCCTCGCCTTCAATCTCGGAAACAGTAGGTCGATCACCACCGACCGCTGCAGCTTCTGATGGCGCCTGATCCGTGGGCTGGGATCGCGCCCCCTTCTTCTGTCGCTTGGCTGTCGGCATTGTTGAGCTCCTACTGCTCAGACCTGGGCAATGTACTCAACTCGCATTTGCATATCGCGGACTGAGGATCGGCTTGTATCGCGAGCTGTCGGCTAGATGTTGCGACAAGTTGAGGATTGGCGAGACAAGAGATGATGGCAAATGTCGTTGTTGACGTCTATAGAAATTTCAGCCTCGTCAAAGTCCCACGCGACCAGGTCGCGACTGGTGGGTTATCTGGCGGTTCAATGGCGTCGATCGTGCAGGGGACTTTGTCAGTAGCCGCCCCACTGCCGGCAAGTTTATGCATTTAAAAGCTGGAAACATATCTCCTAATGTGCTTACAGAGCTCCACCCTCAACTCGACCTCAATTGGCACATGGTTCTTGTAGCCTCGCCATCCTGCTATTTCTTGTTCAGACACTGTAATTGCGACACCTTCCACGGCACCTGAACCCTGACATCACGAAGCGCGCGACGCTCTGGAAGCTGCGATAACCACAATCAAAGTCGAAAACTTCGCTGATCGCCTTCTTCATATACTTTCTTGGCTAATGTCGGTGCGCCATACCGGCAGCGGCTCAACAACGACCAACTCTCGTTCTCGACATCTGCTGCACCGACAACCACCATGCCAGGAACAATCGTCAGCGATGGGCGCGTGTCCACAGTAGCCGATGTTTCGGCTGTACTGAGCGATCTTCTCGACCGTGCAAGAGGAACGAAACCTCCCACGATCGAGCCAACGCTCCAAAAGTCCGACCTTGGAAACGACATTGATAGGATAACCGCCATCTTTGCCGATGGCCGTGGTGCTGAGGCTACTGAGAGCGCGGCGCAACAGAGTCAAGACAAAATCAGACAGTTTGCCGTCATCGAAACCGCTGTTCGCGATCTCTTCAAAACCCTGGTCGTGAGTCGAACGTCTGTGACCAATCTGGCCCTGTGACTGACATATTCCGTAGTTCAACACAAAGATCGAATCCCCGGAGTTTGTGCAACTTTGGAACCTCTTCGACATCGTTTCTATATTATCCGATAACGGATCGTGCGACCCCGCGCTGCTCTTCTGGATGGTCGAAGAGCTTCTCGACAGTCAAACGATCGCCGGCTGCCGCAAGATCTTCGATTTCCTCGAGTCCAGACGCGAAAGGATTACCTCGAGCCATTTTAAGCAGAAGCAACTGGTAATCCTGCGAACTTGCAATGAGCTACTACGCCGTCTTTCTCGCGCCGAAGACACGGCTTTCTGTGGTCGAGTCTTTATCTTCATGTTTCAGAGCTTCCCCTTGGGAGACCGAAGCTCCGTCAATTTGCGCGGCGAATACCACGTAGAAAACGTAACAGCATACGATCAATCAGCGGCACCAATGGACCCTGACGCGGACAAGATGGAAGTGGAGAAAGATGCGGCTGCTGGACCCGACATGAACAAGCAAAGCTCTCAAGACGGCGCTGTGAACGCTGATGCTCTGTATCCAGTCTTTTGGTCGCTTCAGGAAAGTTTCAGTCAGCCCAAGAAGCTGTTTGACATGACGAACCTAGAGGGATTCAAGCAAGGCCTAGAAGCGACGGTCAAGGCGTTCAAAGTGGTCCAGAAAGAGCAGGGCAGCAGACCACCCAAAGCTGCCGACAGCGGTGTAGGTGGTACTAAGCGGAAGCGCAATCATGACGACCAGGGAGATCAGTCGAATGCATTCAACCCGAAATACCTCACCAGCCAAGACCTTTTCGAGCTCGAAATCAGCGACCTATCGTTTCGAAGAAATATTCTGGTCCAGGCCTATATCATACTCGAGTTTCTTCTCTCACTCTCAGCCAAGGCGAAAGAGAAGCTCGCAACGATCAAAACGCAAAACAAGTCTGTCATGTACATGGATCAGACTTTGAGCGAAGAAGATGTAGGTATTCAAAGACTTGTTCTGGTTTGGGCTTGGCTGACTGGGTTGCTTAGACGAAATGGGCGAGTGACATGAAAGAGGCCGTGGAGGACGGCCTGAAACAGGGCAGCGACGGACCTCATTACCATCGTATGGTGGAGACAGTGCTGGTTAGGGACCGCAACTGGATACGATGGAAGATGGAAGGCTGCCCTCCGATCGAGCTGCCCCCCCTCTCGCCGGAGACATGGTCGAAGGCCCAGGATGAGCTCTACTCCATCACGAGGAACAAGCGCATGAAGCCGCCCATGGGCTCGCTGCCTCTGGACTTTATGCAGGACGAGGACGACGAGAAGGCTCTTGACAAACTCAGGGCATCCGATCGATACGAACTTCCTGAGCTTGAGAGTTTCAGGAGGAAGATTGCGGATGACGACTTTGAGATTGAGATGCCGATGAACGACGAGACGAAAGCAGCAGCGATCGAATCCAAAGCGAGCAAGAGCTGGCGTGCCTTGCGTATAGCGGCAAGGTCGAGACTGGGTCTATTTGACAAAATCAGCGACCCAGAAAAAATAGACGCCATCTTTGGCGAAATCGAAGACCCTGATGCGGTCCCTGAACCCGAAGCAGCGCCGGAACGAAAGGCCGTTCTCCCCACCGACCAGCGACCCGTTGTCATCTCAGGCCCTCCCGGCGTGGGCAAGTCGACGACTACTGAGGTTCTACTCAGCCGTCAACCGGGCGCATTCGCACAGGTCGTTCGCCACACAACGCGCAAACCCCAAGACGGCGAGGTCGCGGGGCGGGATTTCCTTTTCGTCGACAAGCAGACCTTTGACATGCAGCGCGACGGCGACGCCTTGATCGAGTACACCACGATCGACGGAGACGACTACGGCACCAGTCGCAAGACAATTGATGGGATCGTCGCAAGCGGCAAAGTGCCGATCCTGCACATGGATCAGGAGGTAAGTCGCGTCGTCATGGATTTTCCCCCTCCGCAATCTCATCAGTCCCTCACGCTAATTTCCCCTTCAGGCGACGGAACAGGCCAGGAGTTTCGGTTTCGAGGCTCGCTTTGTCCTTCTCCTGCCACCAAACCAGGAGACTATGGAGGCGCGGCTCACAGCCGCCGGGGAAAGCGAAGACGCCGTCAAGGCCACAGGAGCCGCTGTCGCTCCTTATCTCGCCGAGGGATCCACACTCAAGGAAGGGTTCGACGAGGTGCTCGTGAATGAGGAACTCGACGCCACATTCAAGGCCTTGGAGACGTTTATTTACGGAGCCGAGCAGGGAGTCGAGGAGCCGGAGAAGACGGACGAGAAGCCGACCGAAGAGACGGAGGCGCAGACAGAAGACAAGCTGAGCGAGGATGCGCCTGCAGCCGCGGCAAACAAGAACGAAGATGATGCTGTCATGGCTGACGCGGCGCCGGCAGCCGAAGACCCAGACAAGGCACAACAAGGTTTGGGGGAGTCCAAGCCTTCGGCTGCGACGTAACGAGGGCGAGAGGGGCCATTTGGATGGGCTGTACAGACAGGCTTGGCGTGAAGCGGTGCAACCGCGAAAAAGAACAATTGATACCCCCCTTTAAAGCCGCCCTTCGGGCATGGATCATGGTGTCGCGTCATATGAAACTTCATTCATTCAACTCTTGCTCTTTCTGTGTCTCGCCCACGGTATCATGCTATGTAAAATCTTATGATGGCAAAATCTTTCAGAAACTGGTATGTGTAGTGTGGTGATGCCATGCAAACAATCCTCCGCCATACCAATATCACTATGCTTCCTAACCACTGCGACACTGTGCCTCTGTGCCTTCATGCTTGAAGACAGTCGGGTCTAGCCGACTTGCTGCCCTAGTCATTATATCCAGAAAGAGAGGTGATTTGACAGTCTTGAAGCCCCCCAAACTGCAAACGTTGCGATATGACCATCGGCGGGTTTGGAGATGAGTCGGGACGAGCGGGGTTAACAGCTAATCCTCACCAGCTTCAGAGGATGCGACACTCTGAGAGAGACCTGGCCGGCCGTCAATAAAGTGGCCCCTGATATATAATCGCCTTAGCCCGTTGATTCTTTGAACAAAAGACTAACGAGGGCCCAGGGGGGGGAGGGACAGCAGGAGGGCTGCGGTGTAAAACCGCCACGGACTAAAGAAGAGCAGGGCTGGCTTACCACCTATTGGCTTCCCACTCAAGGACCCAGGCGCAGCAGATTTTGAGTCGTTCGCGAACACTCTGTGTTCCTAGTAACCTGTACTTCTCGGGTTCCTTGGCGGGAAGAATGCTGGCAAACCACCAGGGGAACTGCTCTGCGTCAACTGGGCATTCCCCGTAGATTGTAAGTATGCGCTGGGCAAGCCAGGGAACACTCTGCTGGCTCATCCTTTGCACAAATGAAACGGCAAAGTCGAGTAAATCCCGGGTAGGCATCCTCGCGAGATCCTCTGTTGTCGTTGTCACTCTGGGCGGCGTCCCTGAGCCGCTACGTTGCGACGTGTTACTGGCGACACGTTGCAAAGATGAATGTCGAATTTCTTGGGCTTCAAGTTCTTCTTCTTCAGCGATGCTGACGTCGTCGATGCGATCAATCTTGCCGACAATGTAGCCGTCGAGGACCCCGTGCCTCACAACCTTGAAACGAGATATGCCAATGGTTTCGATCAAGCTGCGGCCGTCTGGGAAATATTCCGCATTGACAATGCGGAGAAGTGTACCGTACTCAACAAACGGAGCGTCGTCTGCATGCCGTGGTCGTCGCGGCATAACCATTCCAAAGGTCCGATCCCCTTCCAACGCACGTCTAATCATGAGTCGATACCTTGGCTCAAAGATGTGAAGGAACGTTGGCATCATCGGGAATGCCAGCGTACAGACGAAGACGGGAATGTCAAACTCTCGATGTCGATTCAACGCCTCAGCCGCTAGGGCATCTCCTCGGGTTAGCACGGCATCAGCCCAGAAAGTGTTGATCATCTTCGACAGACTTTCATTGGATGGGCATGATTGCCGATGCAGTAGAGGGCTGATTGACAAGGCTCTCCTACAGATCGGGCAGTAGAGTGAGTGGTCGAGAACGCGGTGGAGGCACGAACGGCAAAAGGTGTGACCACACACCGTCGTCAAAGGATCATAGAAGAGTGCGTAACAGACCTGGCAGTCCATCTCGGTGCGCACTGACTCCTTGACTTGCATAAAGACAGCCTCGTCGACGAGGGCCGCCTCATCACCAGTCAGGGAAACCTCGGCAAATGATACCTCTGCGGCATACTTCAACTCGCCCTGTTCAGCCAGAGTGTATGTGGCGACAAGCTTCCCTCCCCTGACCAATGTGGATTTGTGGTTCCTCTCCGCCAGGGAGCTTAAGCCCGCGACCGCCCATTCGTCTTCGTCTTGTATCGATACGTTCGTGAGGATGCTGTTCAAGGCCTCGAGGCCTTGGCCCTGCAATATGGCGTTTCTGAAGTGATCGATTGCTTTGCTCAAAACGACATCCGCGCTGGTATCGCTCAGGGCGTGTTGTTTGCCACATTCGGGAAAGGGGCAGTCGAAGCCCTGGAGGCGGGCTGGCGTCGCGGGGTAGGAGATGTGTTCCCTCGTGCGCGTCTCTGGCAGGCATTCTCGACAAAGACTGCGACCACAGGGCAGCGTAACGGGGTCGTTCAGGGGGTAAGAACATTTTCGGCATTGTATCAGACGAATGACGGCGCGCACCTGGTCGGCCAGGATGGGTTTGCTGGTGGTTCCATGTGACTTCTCACCGTCCGCCTCGTGGGCAGGATGGGAGGTCAGGTCGGACGGCCTACTCTCGAAGGCTTCTGGCGTTTCGGAGGACATGAACATAGGCGCGCTGCCAGCGCGGGGCGGCCAAGGCAGGGCGCTGCCAGACGGCGTGGGGGTTTCCGGGAGCCTGGCCGGTGCAAAGCAGAGTCGATCCCTAGGGGTTGGCGTAGAAGGACTGCTGTCCTTCGACCTGATGTCGTTGTTGGGAGGGGGAGGGACTGCCGCCTTCGTCCAGTCAAGACGTCGGTGTTGTATGTTGTATAAAGAGGCGGAAATATAATGGGAGAGCAAGTTCGTTTTCCGGCAGGGTTTCACGTCCGGTGAAGACAGGCAAGAGTAGCCAGGAATGGACGGAGCTGGCCTGGGGCTGTTGAGTTCATGTATGGGAGACGGGGGGATGATCAATGAGGGTTACACCAGGAGCAGCAGATCCCATGATGCTCGAGGCGTGGGAGACTTGTCAATGTACAGGGTGTGGAATGATCAAGAAGGGAGCACTGGCAGCGTGCCGATGGGACCGGGAGGCAGGTAGTAGCAACCAGCGGCAAAGGGCAGGGTTGCGAGGCGGAAGCATTCGCTTCCAAGGGGTAAAGAGTCGTCATACATAAAGGATGGTTTGCCAATCAGGAGGGTGCTGGTGCTAAAAGCAGGTTGAAAAGCGTCGGGTGCGTGGTGCGCGTGTGGTCTTGGTGCGATAGAGGGCGGGCACCAACTCTGGCGACGGGTGGGTGGGTTGTGCGCTGTCGAATCGACAGTGGCCTGCGGGGGAGTGCATGAGGTCAACGAAGCCAAGTGGATCGGTCTTGGACGAACGAGACTGGGAGCCGTGACCCTGGAGGTACCAGGCCCGACGAGGGAAGGCGTCGGCCGAAGCCAGCATGCCCCGCCAACGTACTCGGTACTGGTTCAGGGCGAAGCCTTCCAGCAGCCTGCCGCCCGCGTGCACTCGCCCACACTGCTGAGCCAGCAGACAGGGCTCTGCCCAGGTAGGTAGGTAGGTAGGTAGGTACCTGTAGGTCTCATACCCAGGTACCTACCTACCTTAGGTATGGCACAAAACCCGCGCCACAGAAGACTTTCCCGGTGCAGGTGTCAGCAGGCAGACTGCCGCCTGGGTGACATTTGGGGCGGCCGGACCCTGGTACCCTTCCACCCACCCTGGCGCGGCGAAAGAAAAACCCAGCCTTGCAGCGGCTGTTGACCCTAAACGTACCTAGTGTCCAACGGGTTCCTCAATTTTCATTCTTGGTGAAGCGGGAGAATGCTGGTGATTGGAAAGCTGGTTTACAGTTGCTCGTGCAGATCACGCAATGGCCGGTTTCCTCGCTGTACCTTGGGGTGCCTACCTTCGTCCAACTGGCGCCCAGCTCAACGGTTGCCCACGCCAGACGGCCACGGCGCATGCGTGTCACAGGAGGCTGCCAGACATGATTTTCAGGGTCCCTGTGTGCAGAGAACCCTTTGCGCTGAGAGGTGACTGATCCCCGAGGTCATGACGTCATGAGTCCCGTCCACGCAGCACCATCTCGAATGACTTGGAATTGCTTGCGACAGTGGCCACACGACAATTGCCCTGGTTTGTCATCCAAGGACTGAACTGCACCCAGAAGCGTGTGCTATGAAGGTAGGTAGTTCGACACAGTACGGTGTCACCATCTCCGTCGAAGAGCATGTCCGCTTCCTGGAAGAAGGAAGAAGGGCCTGCATTCACGCCTCGTCCGGGACAGGGAGAGCACGCTCGCACCTCACAAAGGCCCGAGACCCGATTCGGACCTCTTCAACAGCGATCCTGGCACGTTACCACGATCTTTCCGATGAACAACGTCCTGCCCATCGGCGCTATCAAGGCCAGCCAGGCTACGACTCGATTCGGGGTCCTACAAAAGGAGAGCTGCGCCGTCTCTTGATTCGCCCACTATGCGAGACAGGCCACCAGGGGTCTCCAGAGGTTGATATCCACGCGTCATAAAAGCTGGCGCTAGTCGCAGCTGCTGGCTGGTGCATACGCCGACACAGGCTGCGCCCTTTGACAGACCTGAGGCACGAAAAAGGGATCTCTCGATGCATTTACGATCCTGTCAACCACATCCAAGTGCGGTTTGCACCCGCCCGGGTTCGCTCCCGGTGCGGGCCAAAGTCTTGCCTGGGCCCTTTATTCAGACAAGCTGAGTTTCTTTGGGCGGCCGCAGGCGCCTCAACAGATCCCTGGTAGGAGATCTGTAGATCCAGAGATCTCCGAATGACTTATCCAGTAAGCTGTCTGGCCAGTAGCCCCGACCTCCTTCACATTGCTGCTCTCGCTAGCAAGAAACCCGGGTTTGCAGAGGCGGGTCCCGTCATTGCCATACTCGACTCACTGGTGACGACCTTCATGTCCTGCCATTCGCACCGCCGCCCATGAGCCGAATAGGATTTGATTTCACCCAGTTGCAAGGGCCGAGACCGCCATCTTTAGTCTTGACAAGGCGCTCCGATGCAATCACGGCCGGACAGCACTAGTACATTGCCAGCCCTGCCGTGTAAGCTCTTACCCTACAAAGCGGCAGGTTTGCCACAAGAAGTATCGTCTGCATTGCCTTTCGACGAGTATTCTGCCTTGTCATATCCACCACGCACCTGTATTCTGCTTCCAGTAAATGAACGCCGCATCATCTATCATGTTTCCTAAAATCTCAAACATGATGAATTCAAAACACCAATTCCGTGCGATGCGTCCTACGCACAACCATCGATCGTAGCTGTTACTCGCATCATACTAGCCCTGATGAAAGTGAAATGTGGCAGTTTGCAGTGGTAAGTACCGCAGAGATGTTACACTTGCTTGCAGCAGAAATGTTGGCGTGTTGGTGTGCTGAAGACACCCCTATGTCCGCTTTATTCAACCTCCAGCCTCGTGGGTATCCGTTACACAACAATCTTGACTATCCCAGACAGTACACCTCCTCATCCAATCCTTTTCTCAGGAAAACCACACCAATTTTACACGAACCGCCATGCCACCAAGCAGGATGCGAAGCAGGCAACTCAGACGCGCCCGCTCATGTTGTCTTAGCTTGCGCTAAGCACATCGTCCCCGGGCAGCATATGGCTTGCTCAAGGCGAGTCTGCGGCCAATGTTGCCGAAGCACACGCAGCTACAGAATAGGACGCTCAGCATCCAGATTCCCGTCTCCATCGTCTTTTGACTGGCAAGGCCGCCAAAAGTGAGGGAATTCGAGACTGTCTCGTTCCGAAACGACGACGCCGACGGCGTGGGCACCATCTCAGGGTCAACGCCCATCAGCACGGCGGAACCGATCAGGCCCACTGCGGCGGAGAGCAAAAAGCCCGGTTTAGAGCGGTCGATCAAGTACCACAAGAAGGGGTTGACGAGGGCCAGCGTGAGCGAGAGCTGCAGTGTCGACGCCCACGGAAGACGACGCTGCATGAATTGTTAGCTTGCAACGTCCGTAAGTAAAGTGTGGCCGGGGTTGAACGAACAATGGCAAAGACTATGCCCACAAAGGCTCCGATGCTCCGGACCCCGAGAGCCCAGTCCGTACTTGATCTGTTCGTGTTGTCCGACGTCTCATCCCGCTCACCATCGACCACGGCCATGTCACCACCGAACGCTTCCTCCCAAACGCCATCGAACCAGGGCAGCAGAGCACCGAGGAGAACGCCGCAGATGCCCCACAGCGTCAGGTATTTCCAGTTGAAACCAGGCCCGCTGGTCCCGTCGGCCGGCAAGGCGGTCAATTGATGCTTGCCGTGTAGTCTCGTCACTAGAGCGCCGTAGCCCATGCCCAGCAAGAAGAGCACAGCGACCCTGGCCGTAACATAGAGTGCCGATGCAGCAGTGGATGGCGCTGGAGGCGTAGGTCGTGAGGACCGCCTTCGCAGCGCCTGCGGGTGGAACCTCTCCTTTAACAGCTCAAACGTTGTATCGTCTAGGCTCTGCCTCTTCACGGGGGTCTGCGACCCTGTCCCCCACGGTGTCTCGAGGTCCGGCCGGATTGAGCGGTCCTTGCCGGTGGACGATGGTGAGTAGATGCCGAAGAGGGTCGATGTAGTCAAGTTCACTATGGACTGGGTTCGGCTGATTGATGTCCCCGACTCGGAAGGGGTAGCGGCTCGGAAGCCATTGGGCTTGGGCGACAGAAGCCTCGACGTCTCGAAATTCTGTCCGGGGGCTGGACTGGGCGAGCTGGACACGCCATCAGAGGGGGGTGTCGGGCTCGTAAAGTTAATGTCGAACGGGCGTCGAGGGATGGGCCTTAGGAGAGGGGGCCCGTCTTCAGACATGGTTTGGAGGATTCGAGAGGGCGCGTTGCGATCGATAGCGGGTCGAGAGGAAGCTGTTCGCGTAGATGGTTCTGGAAATGGCGAGAGAATAGATTGACAACGTTCGTGGAGAGGAGCGGTAAAAAAAAAATAGTAAGAAATTGTTGAGGATCAGTTGCCTACACGATTGAAGGTGTGTCTTGAATTGGATAAACCTTGATTTCGACGTGGAACTCGTGAGGGGAAGAGATGCAGCACGTGCAAGCTTCGGAGCCTTCGAATGTGGAGGGGTGTAGGCAGATACGAGATTTCACATCGTTTAGCGAGAGAGGCTGAGGTTTGTGGTCTTAAACGTTGTCGAACTGTGCGCAAGCAGAGACTGTTCTGCGCCGCTCCGTCGCATCTGTCACACGGATCTGGAGAGAGGGGAAGCTGAAGGTAAGGTAGTGAACTTGTGGAGGACGAGAGAAACGATCAAGGCAGAGAGGGCTGAAGCGTGACCAGACGGGCGACAAGGCATTGGGAGCTACGGAGCATGGTCCCCAGCAAACACGAAGGGCCGTCCAGTGAGAGGCGCTGGATTTGGAGCTGGGTGCATTAGTCGCATGAGCTTCAATCACATGCTCCCGCAGTCTTTCCATCCCCCGTTCGGGATGGGATCGTCAAGACAGTCTGGCGAACGGCGAACAGCAACGTACGTGGAATTCGTGCAGGTGGTGAGGAACATATGTCTTGCGGCGAGCACCTACTGGCCCACGGATTTCTGCAATGCTACATCACAAGCGCTAACATTATCCCGAGGCGTTTCTTCCCACATGACTGGTCCAAAGCGGTCCAGAACAGACTTCTTTGGCACCTTGATTTGTCGCGCCCAGCTATTGTTACCCCACACTGCCGAATAAGAAATGCGAGGGAGGAGTTGGGGAAGCCCGAACGGTACGGAGGTGCATATCTGCACCCCGTGAGCCAACCCATGTGTCTTTGTGTTGAGGCTCCGGATGAACATCACCTCAACGTTCTGTCTCGGCCCGTCACAGCTTTGGAATCATTCTGGGTATCAGATCTATCTCATGCCTTTCTGCATCAGGCTTCTTCCTCATCGCTTTCTGCCGCGTCTTCCTTCTCGAGCTCCTGCATCAATTCCTCATCGCTGTCCACGACATCGTCCGGTCGGGGTATCATGGCAAAGGCCGCGGTACATGTGATCCTGTTGTTCGTGTCGTAGCTTCCCACGAGCGAGCCCAGCTGCACCGTCTTGTCTGCTGTCTCGCTCGCCTTGAGCTCCTTTTCTGACACTTTCCAAAGACGAATGTTCCCGTCACTGCTACCGCAGACGAGATAGAAGACAGCACCCTGTGTCTCCTCCCTCTTGATGATGTTGAAGTCCTTGACCCGTCCTGTGACGCCTGCTTCCTTGCCGCCGATCTGAGCGACCAACTTCGCCGTCGGCAGTTCCTTCACCTTCGCATCCGCAGTCTCTTCAGGTTGCGTCAAGTCGGCGTCCTTGGTCGAGCAGATGACTATGCGCCCATCCTCAGTGGCCACAGCAATCAGAGACGACTCGCTCTCATCGCTCATGGCGACGTACTCAAAGTTGTGAATCTTGATGCGAGAGTCCGGCAGGACCCGGCAACGGGGCAAGCTGTCCATACCGAACACGGCAATGTTGCGGTCGAATCCCACGGCAAACTCCTCGCAGTCCTGCCCGCCGACGGCCGCGCCCCAAACCACCTTCCTCCCCTCACCGGACGAATGCCTGCCCTCGCCGACGTCTTGCAGCAGAGACCTGCTGAAGTTGAGGACTGCGGCCTTCTTTCCGGTCAAGAGGTTCCACAGCCGCATGCATCGCTCTCCTTTGCTGACGCTGATGAGCAACTTCATGCTCGGGTGCACGGCGAAGTCGTTGACACCGGCGGGGGTGCCGCCAAGGGGAGCCGTGTCGCCGCTGGGCCTGCCCTGCGCCTTCGGTATTGGTGCCTTGATGGTGCTCATGGGCTCCCAATTCCTCGTCTTGGCAACGGCAATTGTCGAATCCTCGCTGGCCGAGATGAGTTTGGAGCGCGTGGGGAACACAAGTTTGGTGACGGTTGAGTCGTGGGGGTTGTAGGCGCCCAGCTCGCGGTTCTTCGAGTTCTCGAGAATGGGGCGGAGAGCAGCTGACGCCATTTCGTCCCCATCTCGCCGCTTGGGAGGGTGAGCGGAGATGTTGTAAATGTTGATCTTGGGGTCGGTGCTCCCAGACGCCAGCAGCACCTTTTGCTCCTGGCCAGGAATGGGGGCCGAGGGGGCAGACAGGGCGACACAGCGGATTGCCGATGGATGCGCCGTGAACAGGAACGTGTCAACAAAGCTTGCCTGACCCTGGGGCTTGACAGTAGCAATGAGGCCGTGGAGAACTCTGTCGTAGGAACCGGTGACAATCTGGAGGAAGAATTCTTCGTCCGCGATTGCCCTCTTGGGTTGCATCTGGGGCTTTGGTGGGATGGCCGGCTTCGTCTTCTTTGTCGGCTTCGTTTCGCTGGCCCGTACACTGGCGGCAGCGACCTCTGAGATCTTTCGTTTCGCCATTTCGGAGACGATTGTACAATTGTCTGTGGTGTAGCTGCAAGGTCTCGTCTCGTCTGCAGTATAAGGATGAGGGAGGGCCCTGTTCGTGGATCTGCATCGAAATCGACTTTCCGAAAAGAAAATTTACCAGCTTTATCTAATCGATAAGAAATCCATCCTCAGCCTCAAAAAGGACAAGGCGGGATTCAAGCGGGGTGGATGGGTTTAGCTTCGAAATAGCACATGTTGAATAGGGGGGGCGGAATATGCAAAGTACCTCTCTATCGGATAAAGGTGTCCCACTGTGGCGGTTTGACCAGAATGGCGGCAGCACTGCCTTCCTGCCTGGAGAGGGCGCTATGGAGCTGACTGGTTGGTCGCTTGTAGGCCGTCCACCCACCCCCTCAAGGGCTCGGGGGCACTGCCTAGCAAGACCGTGCACCGCGGTGTACAGTTATGCGATAAAAGTAACGAACAGGACCCACTTTAGGTGATTTTGCAATATAGCTAAAATATCACTATCTAACTTTAACCTTCTATAATAATCGCAAATATAGGTTAATTATATAGATATATAGATTAAATAAAAGAGAATTTATTAAAGAATATATAGATATATTAATATTTCGTATACTACCCTTATACGTCGATATAGGCCTAGAAACGGTTACGCGTCGTTATAATTAGCCTATTTAATAGCTTATCGTTAAAATCGAGCTATACCTCTACTATAGTACGTATAAAGCGCTCTATTAACTCTATATTTAAACTAGTAGTCTCTAATAACGGATCCTTCTTTAGGATCCCTTCCTTAAATAGAGACTATAGGTTTTCTATAGGGTTAGGTTAGGTATATTCTCCTATCTAAGCTAATCTACCCTAGTATTTTCTAGTTATATAGAGAGGGGGGATTTCTATCTTATAGAGCGGGTTTAGGTTATTAAGGTAGTAAGGAAATCGAGAGATAGGGAAGTAGAGTACTATAGAGGTAAAGTAATAAGGAAAATAGGGATATAAGGAAAATAGGTTAATAAAGAAAATAGAAGGATAAAGGAAGTAAGGGGCTATAGGGAATAATAGACTAGGAAGGTAAAGGGTTATATAGAGAAGGGGGTAGTCCTTTCTATATTAGGAGGGTAGGAGGTATAGAGGTATAATAACCTAGGTCGTAACCTAGACTATATAGCCTAGCTAGGCGACTATCGGGGGACGTCCCTAGCTATCGAGGCTGCGGAGAGGGCCTTCGTCCTCGTAAGGGCTAGGGCTATAGAGAGGTCTAGCTAGGCCGTAGCTACTAGGTTTAGTAGCTTCTATAAGGCCTTATAGGCTTATACTATCTCCCGTTCTATTAGGCCTCCTATAGAGAAGATAAGGGGTCTAAAGTAGGACCCTAGGGCCCTATATTTAACCCTCTTTACTTAGGCTACCTCGGCTAGGGCCTCGTAGGGGTCCTCTCGTACTAAGAGCTTATTTAGGGCTACTATCTAAATATCGTAGTAATAGCGGCTAGTCCCTAGAGTAACTAAGAAGTCGGCTCTAAGGTAGTCTAGGGCCCTAGGCGCCCTAGAGGCCTAGGGTAGGTCCTAGGGGTCCTAGGGGTCCCTATAGGTCTAGGGTAGGTCCTAAAGTAGGGCCTACGAGGGCTCTAAGTAGGCCTTCGGCTCCTTTTCTACTTCTAAATCGGACTAACTAGATAGTACTTTTATAAGGGTATAGTTAACTTAGTCGTAGCGGGAGATCTAGCGCCTAGAGGCCCCTTTATAAGTATCCTCGTAACCTATAATAGGCCTAGTACTATAATAGTTATAGAGTACCTCTATAGGCCTACTAGGTATTAGAAGGGTCCTATATAACGCTTCTATAGTTTCCGAGTTAGTTAGGGAGAGCTATTTCTATATAGGTAGGATCGATAGCTATTTACGGCCTAAATAGCTACTATTTTCTAGCCTAGCCCTTTCCTCTTCTAAGGATAGGGTAGCTTAGAGTATAGCTACTTTAGCTATATTAGCTATTTTTAAGACCTCCTAGGCTATTAGTAGTATATCTAGTAGTTCTAGGAGGGTTATTAAGTATATAGCGTTTACTAGGCCTTAGCTAGCTTCCTAGGCGGCCCTATAGAGGCCCTAGCCTAGGTCCTAGAATAGGGGTAGGCCTAGGCCCCCTAGCCTAGTCGGTAGGGCTAGTAGGTCCTAGTATAGGTCGTAGGGGGTCTCTAAGGGTCCCCGGGCTACTAAGCGGACTATAGTCTCGTATATCGTAGCGTTAATAGAGGCGTAGAGGTCCCCTAGGCTATCGGGGTCTAGTTAGCGCTATAGGTAGCGTAGTAGCTATTAGAAGCTAGTATAGAGGAGGAGTAGGGCGTACTAGCGGGGTAGGTCGTAGAGGGCTTCTAGGGCCTTCTCTAGGACCTCGATTTTCTTCGTTAAGAAGGCCCTTCGAGGCGCTAGGGGCCCTATATAGGTCCTTAGCGCTTCTAGGCCGGTCTTATATAGGTCCTCGAGGTCTTACTCCTTACTCTTCCCTCTATTTAGGGTAATAGGGGACCCTTCTAAGACTTTAGAGGCCTCTTTTAGGAGTCGTTTTCCGTCCCTATTTAGGATATAGGCATCGTCGAGGTAGGCGACTATAGTCGCTTTTAGTAGGGCTTTTCCTAGGGCCTCTAATATAAGTCGGAAGGCTAGCGAGAAGAATAGAGGTCTTAGAGGGTCGCCTTACTTTATACCCTCGGCTAAAGCGAGGGTCGTTCCGGAGGCCGTTATTAATATAAAGGGCTTATTATAGGCTTACTTTACTACCCTATAGAAGGTCGGGGCGTAGGTCGCTATAGAGGAGGCGACCGAGGCCCTCGTTATCGTATTAAAGGCGTTCGTAAAGTCTAGGGTAGCGACCCTTTTTATCTCCGATTTATTCGGGCCCGTAATAGTTTCCGATAGTAAGAAGATAGCCGGTTCTACGCCCCCTAGGCTATTTACGCTTAGTTAATTAAGGAGAAGTATTTCCGGGCGGAAGGAGGTCGTAAGGATAGCTTTTAGAGCGACCCTATATATAAGGTCCCCTATAGCTATAGGTCTAACGCCTCCGCTAGGCTTCTCTAGACCTATAAGCTTTAAAGTATAGAGTAAGCTAGGCCTTAAGGCTATACCCTAGCGGATTATATCCGCTAAGAGGCGTAGGGCTACTAGGAAGGGGCCCCCTCCGGCCGTAACTAGGTCTAGTAAGGGCCTAGTCTAGCCGCTAAGGCCTAGGGCCTTTTCCTAGCCTATAGAGGCTATAGTTAGGCTAATAGCGTCCTCTATAATTTTCTAGCTAGGGGGGGGGCTAGTCCTAGCCTTAAAGGGGTCCCTATCGCTTAGAGGGTATTTTTCGTATAGGATTTCTAGGTTTTCTAGCGTTTCCGGGGCTAGAGGGGCTTCCTCTAATAAGGCCTTCGAGGCGCAGCCTATATAGCCTCGCTCGAATAAGTCCTTCGCCCTCGAGGCGGCCTCTATAGGTATATAGCCCTTAAGGGCCTTATTTAGGTCCCTAGGCTAGCCTAGGTCGTCTAGAAGGTTAGGTATAGTCTAAGGGTAGGCCTTTAGGATCTTTACGAGCTGGCCTTCCTAGAGTATATAGCCTAAGACCCTAGGGAGTAATAGTAGGTCTAGGAGGGTTCCCTCTCTAGGGGTCTTAATAAAGGCCTTAGCGACCCTTATAGCCGTTTTCTAGAATATATCGGCCTAGCGGGCGTAGAGGCGTTTCTCTAGGACTAGTACCTATTACGACCTAGTAGCTTCCGAAGGGGGAATACTATTAGAGGGGGTTTAGGTTACTATTAGTAGAAGCTTAGGTTATAACTCTAAGAC